TTCTCTCCGTCTCATACCTTGCTGCATATGAGAAACTAACTAACTAACATTGTGGTTCGTGTGGTTAATCGTTGAAAATACAAGGAAGTAAGATGGTCTTGTTGAACAAGTAGAAGGTTGTTGTGGCCAGTGGGGGGGAAGTTGTTATTTTTGGTGGTAAACTGCTTCTGGTGATTGGTTCTCCTACATTAAAGACCAGTAACAATAGATTTTGTTCAACTTGATATTTGAATTGTATAACTTGTGTTCGCTATTACAGGTACTTTCAATTTTTGCACAGCAGAAGTAGCGTCGCGCGTTGTCAGACCACAATGGGTGGTTGGGTAACAGTGCTCCTCTGGTGTGTGTTAACCCAAAAGGATGTCATCTTACACAAACTGCAAACTGGTTTTGTTTTTTGAAAACTTTTGAAAATAAAACTGCAAAGCTGACTTCCCAGAAAGCCCTCATATGCCTATTCAAAGAAAGGGTTTTTATTTTCTCCCTGTGGGGAATATTGGCGACTATTAATCAGACAGTTTTGAGGGTATTTGAAACCTTTCTTAATTATTAAAAACATTCTTTTTTTCCGTACAGAGAAATAAAAACAAGCAGAAAGGGAAAGTTCAAGAAGTACTTTCATTTATTTATGGTTTTTTCGTCGTGTGAACGGGTGAAACGTTTCTGTTTTTCCCCGTTGGTTTTGTTTGGGTCTATGTTGATGCAGCCTTGAGGAAAAAAAAAACCTGGTTTAGTTTTCTCTGCTTGCTGGTCAGCGTTTGCCAGCCCTCAAAATGAGATATTCGCATGGCACTAAGTTCTGGGAATTTATCAGTCACGCAATCGAAGCCTGTGCACTAGATTTTCTGAGCTACGCACTTCCTCTTGATTTTATGTAAAGGTTCGTAGCACCGATGCCATTCAGACTTGGTTATTGATGATGGTGCATATGCCAGGGAAACAGGGTTTGTTTCAAAGCCAATATTAGATCACTGCCTACTCTGCGTCCTGAACAAGTTGTTTTTCATATTCCCATTCATTTCTTAACCTCGACTGGCGTGGGCGGCACGAGGATTTTTTTTGAGGGGGAGGGGTAAAGCCCTTTTTGGTCAGGGGAAAAGATTTCTTGTGGGAAAGCGCCTATGTCAGCTAAAAACAGAACTTCCATGTTTTTCCAAGCGAATCCCCTCTTTTTTTTGGGGGGGGGGTTTCTTCTGCAATTTATCCACTGTATTTTTTTTTTGATTTTTTTTCTCGGGGGGGGGACGCCACCCTCCCCTCCCTCAGAATGGCCCATGGCCACATGACTCGTGAGCGTATCCTTGAAAGAAAAAAAAATATCCAAGAGAACCCGGAAATTGTCGGCTGTTCGCGCCACTTGATATAGGTATAAAGGTTTCAAATTCACCATAGCTTGGCAGCCAATTTGTGGATTGGTTGAAGAACTCCCGATATGAAATCCTCTGTCTCAGATTGGAATCCTCTCTCTCGTTTTACAACTTTTTGTTATTTTTTACTTGTAAATAACAAGTGAAAAAGGAACATAAGTTGGGTTAGTGAGGTTGAAAACCATGCATTAAATATGCATTTAACAGAAAAATCACAAGACAGGAAACTAAAACCGTTTGGGAAAAAAATTCGCCACCCGGCACAAAGGGAAACACCTTTATTCTTAACATGCAAAATAAATAAAGCCTGTATTATTGTAAAACCACCAGTATCGTCAAGAATTAGGCGTTGAAAATAAACCTATCTGAAAATGCGTCTTGCTGTTTTCTCATTTACACTCTGATAGTTTTTTCCCGTCAAAAAGCTTTCCTAAGAGTATTGTCTGCGATAGATAGACTACATGTTCAGTGATTTTACTGCGCGGAAAGCATTTGTTTATCAAATCACGTGAAGTTCACTTTCAGTTCTCGAAATGACTGACTCTGTGACAGCTATTATGTGGGCCTGCTGCGTTTCCTCGATTAGCCATGTAAGAACTGTTGAAGGAAATTTCACTTTCTGTATAGTTGAGATGTAATCCAATTTGCACCGTTACACGAAAGAGCAGAGTAACCTTCGGGAAATCGTCAGGAGAGCTGGGCGTTGCAAAGAACGATTACTGCTTCGTCATGTACGACACATGTTCTATCGTGGAAGTTGCACCTAAAATGCTTATTTCTCAGACACAAACAAAATCTCAGTTTTGCCTATACCAAACGGTTCTACTGAACCTCTTGAATGTAGTTGATATACATTGCGCTATGACAAATTCTTACCACAATGAATAGGCCTATATTGGCACCGGATGGGGTTGGACTGATTTCTTTAAGTCCTTACAGTCTTACAGAGGAAATTAACTTCGAAATAGTGACAGCGAGTTTCGCTGATGTTACCCGAAAGTATCTCAATTTGCCTCTGATGTTCGGTTTGCCCTGAAGCTTGACTTTTAAAAGGTGTACAGTACGAAGTGTCCGAAATAAATCTAGCAATGGTAAACAAAACATCCCCGGAGCCAGATCTGCTGTCTGTCCCCGGGCAATAATTCATCTTAAGATTATGTTGATTATTTGGAAAGTAAACAAATCGATGTGCAGCCATTAAACCCTCGGCTGCCTTTTTTCCAGTACCATTGCAACAAGGTGAGCGTTTCCATACATACGGGGAGATGCAAGTATTGCGAGACGAGTGTGGTTGAAATAACAAACGCTGTTTCGATTCTCTGAATAGAGCGCAGAGGTTTTGCTTTCGCCCCATGCTTTGGAATTTCCTCTTGGCATTTCCTTTAAATGTCCCAACTCCAGAATAGGTGTTAACTATTTTTAAAAAATTCTTTACACGAATCTTTCGGTCCCACCTGTGGAACGATGCAAGTTTTTTTGGGCGAGATCGGTCCATACGTTAACGGTTTTTTCAACCGTCCTTGACTGCATACTATTTGTAAATACAATGCTTGCTCTTTCATAGGTCTAGAAGTGCGCACAGCGTAATACGAATATTTTGTCTTGAATAAGCATATTATTAATTAAATTTGAATAAAGTCACAGTTCTTTAAATTCACATGAACATAGGCCCCTAACAGTTTGAATTCTCCATACTAAAACACTGTTGCTATACCTCGTGACTCGGGGCAAGCTTTTGCTTAGTTATATGAGAGACGCATTGCTACTATACACAATGGACAAGAAAGAAACCAGTTCATTCTAGAGATGGTGGTCGCTATGCAAAAGCGCGCCAGCCCTTTTCTTGTAAATGACGGAAGAGGGCGTATATAAGATAATACGTATCGTGACATCATTTGCTAAAAAGTTGGAAGGTACCAGCAATTTTGGCGTACTGTGTCGGTTCCTCGGTGGAAATGACTTTTTCGGTGTTTGGGGGGACGGGGCTGATGAGTTCGACCTCGGCGTAGGCGATGCCGCGGTTGTGCCTGGATCGCTTGAGTGAGTCTTTGAGCCGATGGGACTTCCGGGTAGGTGGCATCGGGCGCGGTCCGAACTTTGGCGTGTTCCACTTGTACTTCGCCCTGGGCGGGCACGGGAACTCCTCGGCCTCCTTTCTTAGACTTATCACTGGCTTCGTTGCCCCTGCGTCCGGCTGATGAGACGCCGACGGTGCGACTGGCCCCACTGGCACGGCCGGCAGCGGCTTGGGGTTAGCTAATGTCGTAGACTTCGAGCCCGCCACTGGCAAGTCTTGTGGAAGGTTTTCCTCCTGCTCTTGATCTCGTGGCGATGAGGCGGCCTCGACGTTCACGGCATTTTCATCGTCATCTTCAGCCGGGTGAGAGACGAACATCCCCGGCGTAGCTCCCGCGTCGGTCGCCAGTGGAGGGATGGCGCGATGCTTTCGCCGGGCTCTCCGCCGCCGCACGCAGCACACCACGATCAACAGCACCAGCAGTACCAGCAAGGCCAGCGGGATGCCGACAACCACGGGCATGCGCCAGGTCTCTCCTGACAGCCACGCCCACATTCTGTCCAGGACGGTGGCGGGGAAATCAGTGGACGTGGCCGTGCTCGGCGAAACAGCGGGGCCTCCCGGATCAGTCACGCTGCTGTTGACGGTACTCTCCCCCATAACACTCGTGACGTACAAGTTTCTCGCCACCTAATCTTGCGAAAGTTTGAACATCAAAACTGACTGATGAATTAAATGCCGCACACGAGAATCAAAACCTGAAAGACAAAGTCTGTCAGGCAGATACTGACTACCCTTCTGTGTCTGCCAGAGTTTCAAATGCTACAGCCCAATCTTCATTTACTGTGCCAAGCACCCGTTCCCCAATGATGTTCGGCGCACGCACTACCTGCTGTGTCACCGATAATCACAACCGAGTCTGGGGTTCCCTCTTTGGCATCAATGGACACTGCCTTGCCAGTGTCCTGGACTCCAAACGCTTCACTGAACGACGCAAGACAGCCCGCAAAACGCAAACATTGACGATGGCCGTATAAACCATGAGGATCCTACCCCAGCCAACACGAGAATGGTCGGCCTCGATTACCACCACGGAACAAGCCGAACAACGACTGAACATCACGCACGCCTACCGTGTACCCTCTGATCTGACTTTCGAATCTGTATGTTAATTATGCCCGAGTCTTTCCGTGTATCGCTTAAAATCTCCTGTCACTTTCGTAAGAGTGGTCTTATGGTTCAGGACGCGGGAGGTTGGAGTTGATCCTCATCAGTGGTCGGTAGGCCTAGTTGGTGATGGCGTTTTAGCTATCTGTGGACATGTTCGAACGCGAACTTTGAACTAGTTCACTGATTAAGTATCATTTTAATATGTGCGCATGCGCATATAAATGCAAGTGGAAGCAGCAAGATTTAGTGGCCCATTGAAAATGTACAGGGGCGCAAATTTCTGTTTCGTTTTCTCT